TGCGGCGAAAGATCTTAAACCTCAAATAACAATACTTATCTGTGAATCAATTTGTAGGTGTGATTCTTTTATAATAATACTTAATAATAATACTGAACATTTAAATAGCGCTCTAACTGTCATAGAAAGTACCACAGCGCTTTACACAAATTGACGAAAATCCCCCCCCCCAAAAAAAAAAAACCCACCAGAAAACAGAACAAGAAATAAACCACATTCAAAATACATGAGTAAGTAATAACAAATCTATCAAATTAAACAGATCAGTTAAACAGATCAATTAAACAGATGGGTTTTCAGGGATTTTTTTAATGTTGCTAGTGAGCTAGAGTGGCGGATGATATAGGGTAAATTGTTCCAGAGTTTTGGGGCAGCAGCGTGGAAGCTTTTCTCTCCAGTGGAAGTGCGAGTTTTTGGTACATGGAGTAATCTGGTGTCAGTAGATGATCGGAGTCTTCTGGTCGGCTTGTAAAGCTGAATGAGTTCGGTTAAGTATGAAGGTGCAGAGTCAGTGTTAAGACATTGGTAAACGAGGGTCAGAAGTTTGAAGTTGATTCGGTTGGGGATTGTCAGCCAGTGAAGATCGTGGAGGATAGGAGTGACGTTGTCATATTTTCCAGCCTGATAAATCAGTTTAGCAGCACGATTTTGGAGCCGTTGAAGGCGTTTGCAGTCTGTAGATGTTATACCGAACAGGAGTGAGTTTGCATACCAATGGAAACTTGGAAACCATTTCCTTGGCGGTATTATACAGCAGCCATCGGTGGGTTTTCAAACCCCTTAACCTTACCTTTATAGTCTAATATAATTGTTTGTTTCGAGATAATTATGCTTAATTTAAATTTTATTTTCAAATATAGAATAAATAATGCAGTTTATAGAATAATACGAAGTGATTCCATGAGCAAATTCTCTCTGACACATTAAACTACACTGGAGCTTTTGGATTGACTCAGATTAAGGATCAACATAAAGCAAGGTCCACAATTCACGCACTGCATCAGAGGAGCATCTTCATGAAAAAAACAGCATTTCTCAACGCTTGAAATATTCACACGAGACAAACAATAAGAAAAGTATAAAGGAAATTGGCATAACTTACAATCCTCAGCGGTGCTGTAACATAATCATTTACACCCACGCCTGAGCTTTTTAACTGAAGATGAATGGAATCTAGTATTTTACCCAACACCGAAGAGAATTCTATTCAGCCCCACAAGATCAGAATGCAGACTTTCAAGCCAGGTCGTTGTCTTTCTTCTTCTTCTTGTCAGACCCTCTGCTCTACGGGGTTTTTTTTCCTCTCTTTTTCTGGGCCAGCGAAATGCGACTCGCAGACACGGGCCAGCTATCTCACAAGAGGCACGGTAGCTCTCTCAGCTAGGCGTGCACCTCTCCACTTCACCATCTTCCCTCGCTGGTCTTGGAGATGCCGTCTGAAAGCCTCGGTATCCCCGAGGGAGTTTGGTGGGGAGGGATATCCAAGAAGAAGTGTGATTAAGGATGACCCGAACTGTTTCTTCTTCACTTCGTGCTCGGACCATTGCGTTCCGGGGGGAAGGCGAGACGCAGAAGTGGGGCCGTGAGGGTGTTGCATTGTGATTAAGACCGCTAACGAATACCGTGTCTCTCTGTTCTGAAGCTGGGAAGGGGGGTATACTCTTCTGCTCCCTTTTATTAAAGTAACGAAAACAATTGCATCTTTTGAGAATTCATCCAGACCTGTACGGACGATTTTGAATAATGTTTGCATGACATAGCAATTACATTGGGTATAATAGCACCACACCTTTGGTGTCAATCAGATTTTTCGACGCTGCGAATATTGGCAAGTTGTCCGTTATAAGTGCCATTATTGTACTTAAGGGCAGATAACCAAAAGAGGGGTCAAGATGGATCTGGGCCAATTTGGAAAAGCGCTGAGACGCAACGACGTCGCGCCTTATTTACACGTGTGTTTTCTTATGGGAGCTTCACCTCGCGGGCGTGATGTATCATAGGTTTCAACGATGGAGCTGTTTTTGCTAGACAGGTACCGGGTCCAATTCATAAAGATTTTTGTCATGGGGGAACAGGATAGTCATCAAGACTGTAAAATTATAACGTTGGTCAGAGTTTTGAAAAGACTGCCTATTTTTTTGAGCAGAGTTCCAACTTCATGCATGTTTGGCCCTACGTTTTGACCTCGAACCGAGTATGACATGGCGAGGACCTAGTTCGAATTTGGACATAAAACATACACATTTTGTTTTCGTGACCACTTGACGCTGAACAAGACTTAGGCCTACACAGATAGAGCTTGAATGTTTTAGGGTCCTTATTTGTATTCAATAATCACATTGTATCTCTTGGGAATCCGACTTGCGTCCATTCTTATCTCCTCCCACAATCACAGCATGTTTACCTTTTTTGTATCGATGAATAACTGATATACATCTTCCAAACCACTCAGCAGGGTCTTGTGTACTCGTACTCTCATCTTGAAGTGCATTGTGCGGTCAAGACTCCAACGAGCGAAACACGAGTCCACTCCTCAGTATACCTCTCCAATCCGCCAGATTGCCACAGTTTCTCCGAAGGGGCTGAGTGCATCATCTCAACAACTCGTCTTTCTTTCTCTCAACGCGAGCTGATTTCTCTGTTGCTTTACCCCGATCACAGCAGCAAGAGATGCTATTGACCTTGGAGGTCACTCGATGCGGCAAACATTTGATATGACCCATTTTTTCTTCTCTGCAGCATTAGGGGGCAAAATGCTTTCTGAAGTGGTGTTTGCCACGGTTAAATGAAAAGACTCCACGGAAGATAAACAAAACGCCAAAGCCACACTTAATGTATAGACCTACTTGAAAGCTTCGTTTCCTCCCGTTTCTTGGCTTAAGAGGCGTAGAAAGGGGGACACTTTTTAAAGGATTTATATCTGTTTAAAAGGTAATCTATCTTTAGAGGAAATCTGTCTTAAGAGGAAATCTGTCTAATATTGATAACTATAGTTTGTGATTAGGAATACAGTCGTTTTGGTATTCGTGTTATTTAAAGTGACACAGAGACAACGGAGTCCTTAATCAATCGATATAGTTTAATGGTGTATTTTGCTTGATAACTACCAATAGCAAAGTGATCTCCGAAACACCTTGGATGACAACAAAGGCTTAAAATACACACTGGTAGATATAAAGTTGTAGGTTTACTTTTAAAGTTGTAGGTGTAAGTTAACTTTTTGTAGACATACAACAAAAGTAAACCTACAAAAAGTAAACCTACAACTTTCAAAACTTCCAATCGTTCAGAATGACACTGTTATCACGCACGAAAAGGATCACAAATTAATGGAAATCAAAACAGACATACCAATCATGATCGCCAATCATAATGTCATGAGATTAATGTAAGGCTTCATACACAGCTCCCGATGCTTGTCTAAATCGCAGAAAATGCACGAAGTTGTTCCATTTCTCTTTTATCAGCTTATGGATTCTATACCGGAATTACTTACTCGCTCAAGTGACTTTTCTGGGCGCCACGTTCTAGCTCTGGGACTTGAGGCAGCTTGAGCCGAACAAACCCGCCTTCTATTTTCGACGTCGAATGCTTCTTTATACTTGTACAGAAATCCATCAGCACCGTTCATGTTACTGTACAGTCAGTGACAACGGCCGGTTCAAGCATCTCGATCGTCATATTTTAACGTTTTTGGTTTTGGTTACAATTCTTAAAGATCGATGTCTTTTTGAACTGATTAGTTCCTGAACTGAAGACATCTCTCCCCCTGAATGTGACATCTTCAAACAAAACAAAACTTAAACAGTCTTCGCTCATCATGTCGTCAATATATGAAGAGGTTATTTAAAGAAAGTGTTGCAACTTTTTTCCAAATTACTCAAGGGGAAAAAGAGAACATTTCCCTTGGTCTCAACTCTCCAAATCTCATACAGAATATTGTCTCAGAGTCTTCCTAGTAACACAGAACTGTGGCATCCAGCATTCTGGGCGTATTTGAGAGGGCGGATTTGTCTCATACAAACTCCAAGATGAATATGATGTGTTTCCGATTTTTCAGCAAACACTATAGCGATGGTTGATGAAGGGAAGTAACGCTCCAGAATTGCGGAGGAAGTATACACCGGACCTCCGCCTCCCCCGGCAACCATATTCGGTGTTTGTATTGCACTCCATGGCTGAAATTATGAGCGCCGTTTATGTGTTTGTCGTGTTGACAGAAGAGAGGCCTGCGAATAGTCTGGTTAACGGAGTGAGGTGCGTTTGCGGCAGGAGCCAGGTACAAATATTGCATCACAGCTTTGTTCTATGTGGCTCAACATGAAAAAAAATAGCAATCACCCACAGATTTTGTTTAGAGGTATCTTGTTCCGTTTCTGGATGGGCTATCACGTGTACGGTCGCCGATGCAAGCAGTCCAAACACAAATTTGAGAATGGAGTGCTCGATCTTACTCGACTGGACTGAAGGCCACAAATACAATAAAAGTCAGTTGGACATGAACCCGGGCCATACTGTCTGCATGAGGTGCGAAGTCATCAATCTTAGCACATGGGTGATTCGTGAGTGCGGCGAAAACATCTCAGCCCCATCCGATGTAGTATTTCAATAATTCAGAATCATCACATATAGAATGCGCGCTTGAAATTTGAAAGAAAAAAAAGATAATTAGCCTATACATGTACTACATTTTGTTTTCTGAAATGACACGCGGCCGATGCAGTAACCACTTCGTGAGTCAGTCTGGAGGTCAGGCTGTTATGTCCTCTTCTTTTTCTTCTGATTTCTTTTAGTTTTCCCCCTTTCTGAATAACAGGGTCCTTGAGTCACTAAGCGCCCGGTGCTTCAACTGGATCTATAGCTCTGAAGCGGAAGATTACTGCACGGACGTCGTCCTAAAAAGAGAGAAAGAGAGAGGGACGAAGAGAAAATGCACGCTCGAGTTGTACTGCTGGAGAAAATCCTAGGAGCTGGGGAGAACAAAATAATGGATACCTCACCAAGCGAACAGAAGGAGAGAAGAGATGACGGATAGGATTCTTCCAGTCAATTGGATGTCTTTAAGATGGAGTCCAAATGGCTTTCAACGCGTTCAGTGAGCGCCGAGAGTTTAATCGATACGTCTTGGCTGCATTGGCACCTGCTGTAATCGGGCCAGCACAATAGTACAGGAAATTCCTCCCTTTGTTGGAAAAAGGCGATGGTTTTCATTCCACCTGTGGTTGATGGGGTTTTATAGAAAGAAGGGCATCCCTTAATATCGTTGGTTTAAGGGAAGAATGTGAATGATTAGATCTCGCAGTTTTTTGAGGATGTTTCCTGAGCTTAAGGGGGTTTCGATACCTCACGCGAATATATAAAACAAGTGCGAGTGCCCAATAAGCTCTGGCCGTCTTGCATGAACGTCCTGCAGAAAATCAATGAAAAAAAATGCGACGCCCCAAAAATGCGACGCCGATGGCACATACTAACACCATACTTCAGATGTAACATAGATTTATAGCGATTACTGATGAAGACCACGTGACTATAACATTATTGCACATATTTTGCCTCCATTTAAAAACTTTTCATAAACGTCATTCCGAATTGTTACAAACAATTTTTGTTAAGTATTTAATTGATTTTGTTTCAGCAACAGATAATGTTTAAATAAAATTGTTTCGAAAATTGGAGATAAAAAGCTGAAAACGTGCTATGGCGAATGAAAAACAATGATGTTCAGAGATGAGAACTCAAAACTAATCACGAATGACGCACGTACGTCGAAAAAAAATTGTTCTACAAAATAAAACATTTCCAATACAAACACTGACGACTGTTGCCTACAGCAAGAATACAGAGTTGATTACTTTTTACATGGGGCACGGGATTAATTCAACCAATATCTCAACACAGACATAAATCATTTCGTTTGCAATTCCCCCTTTCTCGAAAATTCAATACTCGCTGAACGTCAAAATAAAGGGAAAGGTCAGTTTTGGTTAATAACCGTTCACGTCAAATTACTGCTAAACGAAACCTAAACTTTAATCCCTCTCGGGATGAAAATATCGTGGAATGGAATTCTGCCGGATTAGATAAATTGGTAATGAAGGGAATTAATTCATTTTTTTTTTTAGGTACGACGTGAATGTAAATTATATTTTGTTACAGAAGTAATCGCTACCAGGAAATCATTCGCATGGGAGATTTGCATTTCTTTAAGGGCGTGCTTAATGCTTGGATGAATTGCCTTGTTTATTCAATCTGCCTGTCTGGTATTTTGGGACTTCAAAGAGGCTGAGTAGTGCCGCGCTGAAAGAGAAATTGTTCTGTTGACTTCGGACGAGTCATTGCCGACTGATCAAAACCAACCCCATGCATTCACGGTCAGTTTTCATACACAATGTGACGTGAACAACGAATACAATAAATACACCGTTAAAGGGTTCACACAGTGATTTTTTTCTGACGAGCAGATCCTGTGCAACTTTCTCCTCCTCTGAAATATATGAAAACTACTTGACACCCCTTTTTGATTAATTCTATTGAAAATTATAATTTTTTTTAAACATTCAAAAATGTTCATGCTTTTTTCGGACAACTGAGGGAACTGTTGCTGTGATGTCATTTCAAAAAGACACTGTTCGGTTGAGGGGTTTTGTGTTCAAATATTGTGAACCCAAAACATTGCTCATTGAAAACATTTGTGAAAAAAAGTTTGCTCATAGGCTTACTGCCAGTGCATTGCACAACAACGAATCGCCAAAGAAAAAAATTACAACGGCAAAATATTAAAAATTCTGGCAACTTGTGGCGCTGAAATATAACTGTAACATTGAGGTTTCTGCCTGAAATGACATCGCACTTTTGCTCATGAATATGAAATTCCCATTAGCATAAAGACCAAAAAAACACCAACATACTCCTAAAAACGGCAAAACGTAAATTAAAACAAAGGTTAAATGTGACAGGTTTTTTTTTAAGTGACACAAAGGTGCATTTTCAAGGATTGCATTAAATTGCATTAAACTGCATTTAAATTACATCGCATGGGCCTTTAAGCATTCATTATGAAAGATCCATTGTATATATACGAAGAAAATTCGTATCGTGGTATGCACACCTTAATTTAACTGCATTATAGCTCACATAGCTCACACGGCAAGGGAGAGAGAGAAAATAAAGGAATTTTCTGACTGCTATCAAAATATGGCCTTCTCTCTCTAATTCAGGCTCCTGATCACTGCGTGCCCATGGGACAATGCAGTTTTATGATGCACATTAATTTTGTGGCGGATATTCTTAGAAATTAAGCCACCGCATTACAGAAATAATTGCGATGTTTGACAAGCAGAGTCATAGTTTCAATGTGGTCCGACTCACACCTCAGACTGAGTGCACTGCTAAACTAAAGATAACTCCCAAATGAATAGGCCCGAATAATGAACTATTTTAACCATAAGCAATACTGTTTTTGACATCGAGATAAATTGACAGTAGTGTGTTTTTGAACAGAGAGTTTGCCGGCGCGGAGAAGACGTGCAGCGGAAATGCGCTGTCATTTTGCTGCAAAGGATATACACCATTTCCTATCATATAGCAGAAATAAATTCAATAACATTTTTCTCTCTGAAATAAAATACTCGAAAACACTTCCCGACATTCTGTCCAACGCCATTTCAGTTATATAATACGACCAATATACATTCGACACTACCGATTGTGTAACCAGAATAACTTGTTGTACCAGTTTGATCAATTCTATTTATATATGTGGTGTTGCTCTTCGCCGACGTAAAAATTGTTTTATCAATATTGGACCATGTCAGTAGACACATAATCGACACAAATTTGTTTATTAAAAAAATCCATATTTTCAAAGAATACTCACGAAGAGTCTTTATCGATATCTCAGTATATGAATCCATAACAAGGTTGGTCAGAAACTCAGTGTGAAGGACGGAAGGAAGTCATATCACAGGCTATACAATGCGTGCGGCGTCCCACTTTTGAGCCGCGGAGACGAAACCGACATGGCGTAAACCCTTGCGTAATAGTCTGGGGCCTTTATAATATAATGTGAATGCTTTTGTTTATGAATGTGGTGTCTGGGATACTAGACTAAGGCAATTTCTTTCGACTCTGCCGAGGCGATTTCTTTCTTTTTAAACGTTTTTTTAATGACGAATTTGCCATTTGTAAGGAAGATTAGGAATTTTATCCATGGTGCATAATAGACCCGAATCATAATGACGTCACGCTTTGTTTACGTGTATGTGTGCTTTCCTATAGCAGCCAGATGAGAATGAGAGCCACTAAGCTTCCATAGGAAAGTGCACATTTAAACAAAGTGTCACATCATTATGATTTAAGTCTATTAACGTTAAATATGTAATACGTTACAATATGTAATTGAAATTTTAAATCACCCAGTACACGATGCAAATCCATTGCTTGTAACTGAAGCAATTGATCATCCACCCATCCATGGCTCTATCTAGTATTAGGAACGAGGTTGAAATGAAGCAATGAAGTAGAGGTTAGGGTATCGAGATGTGACTGCATCAGGCTGTAAAAATAAAGAAATCCGAATGTTTACAATCATGGGACTATATTACAGCACTGCAGTGGTCACCATCACGCCAAGAACAAAAAGAGTGCAGAGCTGGAATCCTCAAAAATGCTTCCGATTACAGATAAACAGCCAACGTGTGTGTAAACGAGCGAGAGAAATGCCGAACGAAGGATGCACCTAATCCCCAAGAATCAAGGACGGACAACTCACACTATTATTGATTTTTTAAAATAATACAAAAGCGCTAAATGCCTTCCTTTTTTCTCTCGTCTGTGATGATCAGATTTTAAGTAGTCACTCGACTCACTCGCCAAGGATGCATTAAACTTTGCCTCGTTGGTTCCACGGATCGATAACACACAGGACCTCAAGGTAAAACTAATCTGTTCCTTTGAATGAAACTGGATACTGCTTGTGATGAGCTGCTATCGGGTCGAAGTGATTAGGTAGAATTAAGATGGCGTCCGGGAGAGGCAAGTGGCGTCACTTACATAAGAACACCGTGGGCTTGGGTTAGAAACAAAACTATATTTTGATCATTAGAACCAAAAAGGGAAAAAACTTGCTAAAATTGCGAGGTCTTGAAAGAATTAGTAATTAGGTTAATTTGCAGCTTCCTTTGGAATTTGTCTTTTGTTTACGTCACTGTTTTTCCCCTGCTGGTCTGTTGGGTCCTTGAATGTGTCTGTTTTCGCCTGTTAATTTATGCCTAAAACTGAATATACTTGTATTATGCTCTTGTACGGTTTTTTTTTTATAGATGTATGAAAATTTATTTGACATTGAATTGAACTGAATTGAACTACAATATGATATGAAAAGTGCATTAAATCACAGTATGACGCGACGACCATTATTGTCACAATGATATATTTATATGTAATTCTTATTTTACCAAAGTAGAGGTTGGGGGAGTTATTTCTGCATAGATTCGTGTAAAGATTCCGAGTGTGCCTTTGATATAACGTCGACGTCAAACTGACACAATATTGGTCTGTTCCCGTGCCTCGGTTTCCAAATAAACAGTTTGATCTCGATCTGAAGAGAGGCCACAAATCACTGTCTGCAACAGCCGTCAGGCCTCGTCGATTACTGTCCGCATTCCCCTTCGGGTCCTACATCCCAGTTGATTTATGGGACCCGTGTAGGTCATGATACTAACCTCTATTTTCTCTCCTTTTTTTGAAATATGTTTTATGACCAATGGAAACGGAAGACGTTCGAGAGAGGAAGTAACTAAAGCCAGGAAGGTGTGCACTTTCGCCTTGATGAATGGCGTAGACATTGCGGTAATGTTACCTCTCAACGTGTCGTTCAAAAGCGTTTCTCTTTTCTCTTCTGGCGCATTTAAAGGGTTGGACAGGTGTAATTTGAAGGTATTGAGTGACCCGAGGCAAGTCAATATTATATAAAGGGAGAACACCGGGTACGCCCATAATTTTGTGGGACATTTCCTGCAATTAATCTGGAAACTGACCAGATGGTGTTTTTTCCCTCAGTAAATGAAAATCTACCCAAACTGTAATTCATTTCCTATCGTGCGCACTGGTTCTGCACGCCGCAGGTTGTGGCATTGAGATCGGGTGTTTCGTTGTTAATCAGAATGGTTAATAGCTAGGGAGTGGAGGTCGCTCAGTTCAATTCGTTCACACTTCAAACCGCCATTGGGTAGAAACAAAGATTGCGTATTTTGCAGTATATCCTGGGAGAGTATGCAAATACATGAAACAACAACAAAGGAGAAGAGAGGTTGGTCGAATAGGA